CTCTTTGTTCCAATCCAATTCTATCTAAATTCTCCTTTTAATAGTGCAGTTGTAATCCTGGCATTTTAATTGTAAATGGTACTACTAATATAGAATGTTGATTTACCTTTTCAAAAGTCTTTAATTATGCATTACAGTTGAGGGTTGGAACCTTTAATGTTACACAGCAAAATAAAACACAAAATCACCACAATAAGCCAAAACACTTTTACTTTTACAATGGACGCGCGTTTCGCTAACCATGTTAGTATCATCAGCAGATGATTAAAAACTGAAAGTTTTTAATCATCTATTGATTTAGTGTTTTATTTCGCTTTAATTATGCAGATAAATAATAAAATAGGATATTAAATTGTAATAAGAAATAATTAGGCAACTAGGTCAACACAAAATCAAAGCCCGCTTCGATACAAAGATAAAAAACGTAATATTTCTTTCATTTTCAGAAATAAATACACATAACTTTATATCGTTAGAAAGGGTTAAACGCCAGCATTTTTTTAAGTTCAATTAGTCAATAGTGATTTCCATTTAAAAATTATATTTTTTATTATTTCTGACAAAAAGAGCAAGTACAGAAAAAAAACTGACTACGCCACTGGATTGTGCTTAAAAAAGTGCACCAAGAACATTTTTACAGAATTTTATTATTCCGCGAAATACAAAAGTTATGGGAAATTTTCAAAATGGTAAAAAATTAAAAAAGACCCCGTATCTCAGCCGGCAGTGAAAATATCAAACGTGTCTCAGAAATCGAGCTCATGACATCTATGTCGGTTTTGCTCTATCTAGTCAGGAAATAAGCTTTCTCTGTTAAAACAGACCAATTTCGACCACCCTGTACACCACATATTCAGGAAAGTTCAAAAATGTTCATCTCGTTACACAGGTTGTTAAAACTGTAATTTAATTAAACTTGAAATCGAATAAAAATAGTATATAGATATAGTTTTCCATGATGTTTGTTTTGTTAAGCTTGAAATAATAGATAAGTATATAGATAAATAGGCAAGGTAATAGAGTAATAGATAATAACTTCAAACTTTTATATAATAAAATAAGATGCAATATCCTGTTTAAAAGCAATGGTTATATTCTAAACTATTCAGAAGACATTCTAGTTTTTGCCCAAAACTGACTGCAATTGCTCTAGTTTTAATTATTTACAGTTTGAAATTATTCAGCTCCAATCTAGATTAATAATTTATAATTATCACTTACACATAATTTCAATTCCGGCTTAATATAAGCATCACGATGATTTTTATGCGATAACTTTTCCTGAACTGGAATTCATTAGATCAAGGTATGAAAAATATAATACTGTTTCCTGTAATAACACCAATTGTGATCTAATATTAAAATGTATGTTTTGCTAGGAGTAGACGGAAGGTGTAGTGTGCTAGAATTGATTAATCTCATGCTTCTTCTACTTGAATTTACTTTCAATTTATTATATTATTCGGAAATATTTTCACTGTATTTGCTGGTGGGTAATCATTTGGATACTACTAGCATAGTATAAGGAAACTAGTAGCTTTACTCCTTGTCAAATCCTTTGTTCTTTTTCTGCCACTTTATTTGACCTTGTTCTCGCGTCCCGTGACCACTGACGTAGCTGTATAGTCGTGGTCTATAACTAGGCAAAGTATAGTCGTAGTAACTCATTTCATTTTCATAAATACACAGAAATGTATTTATGAAAATATGAGTTCAAAATAAAATAAAATAAAAAAAATTGATCATCGAGTAAAAATTTGCTTGAAAACAGAATATTTTCACATTTCTTGCAAGTAACAATTCTTCTGTATCAGAAAATCTTCTGATGGGAAGAAATTCAGAAAAAAATATAAAATTACATATTTTTATATTATTATCTATTTCAGAGATTTTCTACAACTTTTTTTAAATTTAAAACAAGTAACAACATAATTTTAACATCAATGTGTTTGTTTTGTAGTAATATAGGTTAGGTGATTTTCATTGGATAACTAATATATTGAACAACACATTGTACTAAATAATAAAACACAACATATTTAAACTTCAATAATTACTAATAAACATTAAAGAAATTTCACAAGAGAAAAAAAAACTAGAATAATTAGAAATAGCATCACTACTTTCTCAAGTAATAAAAGAATAGTTTTTTAATTATTGTTACCGAGTCTCGAAAGTACCGATAGAACCGGGAATTAATAATTTTGAGTCCCGGTTCTTTGATATCTCAAAAGAATCAGGAATTTCCGGTTCTGAACCCTAGTTACCATATTACCAAGAAATTATGTGTTTTAACTAAAAACTAAAAAAACTTCCAGATTTTTTTTCAAAAAAAAAAATGAGCAGAAAAATCCTCATATTTCTGGGAGAAAAATACAATACCCCTAAAAATATTTGCACTTATTTAAGGCTCACCCTGTATAGGGTGATTCACGGTTATGGTACGTTATAGAGTTTCAGCAACCGGATCTATTTTTCGGAACCGGTAATTTCGGTACCATGCCTCTAAGGAACCGGGATTTCTAGTTTTTTTTTCGGTACTTTCGGTACTAGCAAATTTTTGTTCAATGATGGTGCAGTTCGATAAACAGCAAGCAAGGGATGGTTGTCAAAAGTAAAATCGATAAAAAATTGAGGTTTAAGTAAGGCAATCTTTTTTTGTCAATCCGTCTCTGTGCTGGGACGCAACGCTCGAACCTCGCAGGTCGACGGACGGAACTCAAATGAAACGCTCTACAATCTGCCAATATTCGGCAGATTGTAAAAACTGGCAGAAAATATTTGGGAGAGTGTAACTACTCTTTTCCTTCTACTATGCTACTAGGGTTTCAAACAATAGTTTTTCGAACTTACCCTTGATCCAAAACCTGATATCTTCTTATACCTCGAAAGATTTCTGTAGAAGTTTTCATGTTATCTTTGACTCTTACTGCAATTATAAGCTACCCTAAGGAGAATATTTATATTTGTAGTTTGTCAAAAAGTTGTAGTGGTATCCTGGGTAATATTGGTATCGTTAAAAAGAGAACGTTTAAGCTCTATAAAATATATAAAAAAATATACAGAACTATTTGAAACTTTCCTTTTAATCTCATTTTCAGTTAAATCTGAATTAATATTTAACTTTTGGAAACGGAAAGATGTAGAAACAAAATATTTTATGGGTATATGTAGAGAGGCAATGTGCATAATTTAAAATTATTTTGCAATGTACAGGGTGTGTCAGAACTAAGATCCATACGAAAACTATATTTTTTCTTATGGAACACCCGGTATTTTATTTAATTTTTGGATTCTTGGACATAAAATAAGGCATTTATTATAACAGTTTAATACGTTTAAAAACGTTAGTTTTTGAGATATTTAAAGATATTTAAATATGCATGCTATAATAAAAAAAAATTGTCAACACCTTGTATATTACTTTTCGGAATTAATTCTTATGCTGAGTTTCAAGCCAGAGAAATAAACGTTACTAAAATATTTTATTGCTCCCTTAAATCTATACAGGGGTATTAAAAATTACTGGCCTATTTTAAATATTTATTTTACATAAAAACTTTGTTATTTTAAATGCAACATTATGTATTTTTTTAAATAAGTCGAAGCAGATTTAAATGCTCAATATTTTTATTGATTTTTTTTTTTAATATTTTTATTGATTTGATTTTTATTTTGATAAACACGTGGACTGCTCACAAATACACGTCGCGTCACTACGTATTTCTAAGCCGTTAACACGTTTCGTTACAACGAGCTCGTGTGTCAGGGCCGTCTCACTAGCTCGTATGTCACGGCTTTGTATTTTTACTCCCAGCGCGCGTAAAGAAGTTTCACTCCAAAATGTTTCATAAATCATGTCCTAAAATTGCATTAGCAACTAGAAATATTTACTATTCTATTATATAATTATAATTATTTATTATATCATAATTGTTGTTGTATGTTATAATTATAACAAGTACTAACAACAATACTACAACATAAAAAAAACTATACACATATAAACTAAAATTCGTAAAATAAATCGCAAATAATAACTATTATTTTTACACACACCACTGACACTAGCAGTAGATTGTGTTTGTCTCCGAATATATGCCCCGGCCCGTCCACAATTCAATCCCAGCATCTTTTATCTTCGTCTCTTCAACGCTAATGGCGCCGATCTCGCCTATCTCTTTCTCACAGGATTGATTGTTGGACCGGCCGGGAATCCACGAGCTTGCGACGTTACTAATTGACATCTTGATAGAAATTGCAGACCTGCCGCGTCTTTTGCGTGTTAATGGACACAAATCGAAAAAAGCGCTTAAAACGGTAAAATCGCAAAAAGCGCTTGAGACGCAAAAAACGCAAAACGCTAAAAACGCTTTCTGTGTGGCCGTGGGCTGGCGGTGAGCTTGTAGACGGTAAAAGGAGGCCGGGTGGACAACTCATAAGGTCCAAGGAGGTCACAATAGAACGGAATGGAGAAAAATTGTAAAGTCAGTTAACAGCGACAACCAAAAAGTAAAGGGGCAACAAAGCAATGAGATTTTTGAATGTCTGGAGTGCGGTAGACAGATAACATCACGTATCGGGATTTTCAGTCACAGAAAAGCCCATGAAAAAAAACGCCTTGCGCAACCATCTTCTGATGCGTATCAAATACTCGTCAGCGAGTAATGGCAGTATGTATGTAGTATGTATACATTAATTTAGTTTTTGCTAAATTCATTTTAAGACCCACTTTATTGCTAGCTGTATTTAGTTCATCAATTTGTACTTGTAGTTCTTCAGGATTATTGGCAATTACAACTATGTCATTAGCGAATCTTAGATGGTTCAAATGACGATACCTGTCATTTTATATTTAAAGTTGTACGGTGAATGTCAGCGATCGTCGTTTTCAAGCTAATCAGACGCCTTTCTTATAATACTGGCAACTCATAATTCCATTTATTCCTCTAATAAACTAAAGATATATATCATTAATATATCGTAATATTGCCTTTCAGATTCCAAGAAGGCGAGGCAGCAGCAATGGCGAGTATATCGAGATGGTACAACAACTTTATGAACGAATATCAAGGTAAGCTAGCTCGATCCCTAAATAGACTTTAAGTTATTGTAAATTTACGTCTAGGAATTTTACGAAATGAAATTATAGATTTTCCGTAAACAAAATTTAAAATAGCCTATATCAGATTAATTTGTAAACTACCACAACAAGTTTGCTGGCGAGGTAGGGTAATTTAAAATGCTTATGAACTGGTCGGGTAAGATGTTTTTTTGTCCAGCCACAAATAAATAGTAGGAGTCATATTTTTAACATCGATTGACAATGAAACGTAGTTTTTCTATAAAAAGATATACAGGGTATTTGAAACTATGTTTAATAAACTATTTTGATATAGATATACGTAGAGGCTAACCGTATGTAGCTTGTCGAGGGTAAGAGGAAACCGGGTGGGGAACTCAAAAGGTTCCAGGATATTTTCTATGAAAACTCAAAGGGGATCATAATCAATGAAAATCAAATTTAATTCAAATACTAATTTTCCAAATACGGTCTTATAATAATTGAAATTAAAGGTTGGGTGACACGGTCTAAATATACTTGGACCAAATACTTGAGTGCTGCCATATAACTGTACTTCTACGGTGCACATTTATACATTCCGTACATGTATACGGCACCTAGCAATCCCATTGGTCAGATTTTAATTTTAAACCAATTAAACTCTGAGTGCCATACGCGAGTATGGAATGTAAGACAGTGCCATATGCACTTACGGAATGTACCTTAGACATTACTATTAACGCTTTGTTATAGAGCATTCCAACCAAAACCAAACCAATCCCACCAAACAGCTAACCTAACCAACGCAATCAACCCCACCAAATAACCATCTTAACCAACGCAACTAACTCCACCAAATAATCAATCTAACCCCACCAAAAAGAGTGAAACCAACGCAATCCGTATTTTGATTGCTATTAAATATTTACAGCTTTTTTTAAAAAATAAAAACAGTTGTAAAAAAATAAAAACGTTATGGTCCGGCGTGAGATTTGAACCACGGATCTCTCGTTCACGAAGCAATGGCCTCAGCCACGGAGCCACAGCCTACTTTTGAAGATTAGCTATAGCCAGGCGTTACTTTCTGCTGCAAGCATAATTACCAGGCACATTCCGTAAGTGCGCATGGCACTGTCTTACGTTCCATACTCGCGTATGGCACTCGGAGTTTAATTGGTTTAAAATTCATACAAAAGAGTTACAACAGTTGATACCATTCAAACGTCATAAAAGTGAGACGCGCGCAACATTCATATATTTTTGATTTTGAAGTGAAACTTCTTTACGCGCGATGGGAGTAAAAATTGAAGGCTGTGACACACGAGACGCAAGAGGAAAAGTGATAACGTTGACTCTTTGATCTTGGAGCGTCGTAACTCGGGTCCTGTGTGAGCTAGGGGCTGAAACTAGAAATGTTCTCTCGGAAACTTTTCAAGCCCCACCTTTTCATGGTATTTTGACGACGTTTCGTGCACTATGAAACACCATCATCAGTGGCGAAAAAATCGTCCGATATAATGGGTCTTTGGAGCGTCGTAACTCGGGCCCTCTATGTGAGAAGGGGCTGAAACTCGGAGAGCCCCATCTTTCCATGATATTTTGACGACGCGCGACGTTTCGTGTTCTACGAAACCCATCAATGAATCAAATTTAAATGAAATTTGGTGGGTCGATAGATTGGACCAGGAGCAACTTTATCGTGTATGACACGTGCCACTGTAACAGTTAGTTTGCATGTAAGAAACGTCAAAACTTGATGTCGTCCTGTCCAATCGCGACCAAATTTGGTGGGTAGGCTACCCTGCCCACCCTGCAAAGTTGGATACTACGTTCTCTTCATCAGAGTGGGAGTAAGGATTTGATATTAAAGAAAAATGTATGTCGATTTCGGCATAATCGGGGACGGGGTACAGGATGATCCCGTCGGAGTTTCGAACCGATGCTTCTAAATGGACGAAATCATCAGGATTTTTCTTAATTATGGGTCCATTGGAACCAAACTCGCCACGTGGATAGAGGTAGACGAATGGAACTTTCAGACGGATAGACGGTCAGACGGGTAGACATATGGAAGTTAGAAGTTTCACTTCAGATATGCGCACATAGTGCACACACATTTTTTTATATTAATTTAGCTTCATTTCTTGAACTGTAATATTTCATAAATTAGAAATAACGTATATTTATATAGCAGTATCCGGTTGACTTGGACAAGTACACTTGGAGTACTTGGACCTTGTCAACCAGACTTAAGTGTAAGTGGACTAATATTTCTGTATATTGAAAATTAACCAGATTGCCAATGAATGAAAACTATAACAATGCCAATGCCCTACACTATTTTGCCTACTTTCTAAAATACCATTTTATCGTCTTGTATAAAAAATAACTATTTTTTCCATAGCAACTGTTAAAATTGCCTTATATCTATCAAAAATAGTAGATAAAATAGGACTTTAATCGCAAGGGTAGATTAAATGATACTTTACAGCGAGGATAGGTTAAAAATTATATTCTTTCTTCTAGCACGTTTTTTAATTGCTTCCATTTTTGAAAATTTTTGTACTCCTTTTCATAAGTTATTCAGGATTTAAATGGAAGTAGTTTGGATATGGCGTTTGTCGCCTCAGCCTGAATATCTGTTGGTAATTTACTTATTTCGTTTTGAGCCATTTCTGGCTCCAATTCAATCAGCAATCGACACGAAAGAGAATTAAAAAATATTGACTCAAAACCATCTCAAAACTGACAACTAAAGAGACAGCTTTATTTATTTGTCAAATTACACAGAAACCAACGCCAACCCAGCACAATATTTTATCTACGTTAGTCTTATAGTTTTTCAAAGAAGTTGAAATAGGAATTTAAAACTGTTAATATTAGCTACGTTTTATCATAGACTAAACTAACTGTAAGTATATTCTTCCTACAGGGTAATAGTTGGCAAAATAAAACACTAATTCACCACAATACACCAAAACACTTTACTTTTGCATTGGCCGCGCGTTTCGCTAACCATTTTAGCATCTTGATTAAAAGTTAGTTTTATGATTAATGAGTTTAGATGATGCTAACATGGTTAGCAAATGGAGCGTTTAGTGCAAAATTAAAGGGGTTTGGTGTATTATGGCAAATTAGTGTTTTATTTTGTAGTTGTAACACCAAAGGTTCCAACCCCCAACTGTAAGGTAACTGTAACATTCAGGCTGAGAGCGTCGAGCGTCGCGTCGCGCTTCCGTCGCGTCCGCCCCATTGAACTGGAACCCCGACGCTCAGCGGACGCTAGCGCAAAGCCAAACGCGACGCGAGGCTCGACGCTCTAAGCCAGTAGTTCCCAAACTTATTTTTCTCGTGGACCACTTTCAAAATTTTACTGGTTTCGGTGGACCCCCTGCTGCTACATTTCTACCACATTCTTAAAGTCGCCAAAAAATAAAAATTGTGTCACTTCTGAGTTCTGTCCCTATATTCCGATATGTAAAATAAAAACGAAAAATGGTACATTTTATATCACTTTATTTATTAAAAGAATAGAATTACAAGAAAAAATATTAAGGTAATATAGGTTCAGGTCATAATTTTAATTAATGGGAAGGATGTATCTGATGGAGTGTCAGCAAACGATCAATGTTTGGCTTTATTTTTGTGAGCAATAACCGCAAATCCCCGCTCTGTGATGTTTAATTTGCTCTTTTTTGTTAAGAGGTTTGTAACGGCACTAAAACTCCTTTCGACAAGGTATGACGAGGGAAAAGCTATTAAAAATTTCCTTGCGATTTCCCACAGTCCAGGATATTTTTCGGGTATTTCTGCTTGCAGCCAAAATGTTGGGTAGCCTTTTCTAAATTTCACCTTCAGCTCCTCATTAGTGCTTAGCTCGAGCAGCTCCTCTTGTAATACAACATTGGCCACTTCCGTTTCATCAAATGGATTTATGATCCATGGTGGTATATCCATCGTCAGTATATCTTCAAACCTGGTTTTGAAGTCATCATGCAGAGCACTTAAATGTTGACTGTAGGTATGGATATCCTCATCAATACATTCTACCTGCGACAAGTTTGGAAATTGAGAGAATTCGCGCCGACTAATGTTTTGCTTCATAAATTTCAATTTCCCAAGAAAAGCCGAAATTATCCCCTTTGTTTTTATTAAATTCAGGCTGTCCCCTTGTAACTGCAAGTTAATATCATTAAATTTTTTAAACAAATCTGTCAAATACGCAATGTCTGCTTTGAATTTGATCAAGTTTTCTTTTAAATCTGGATCTCTACTTTCTAAGAACTCTAATATGGAATCGAAAACAGAGTAAAATCTCGTTAAGCATGCACCTTTCGACAACCAGCGTACTTCAGTATGTAAGAGCAGTCGTTGGAAGTCTTCATCATTTTCGTCGCACAATTGAGCAAATAAACGCGTATTCAATGCATTGCTTCTGATTTTGTTGACAGCTTTTATTACAAAATGAAGAGATTGGTTCAACCTGTCACTTAAATGTTTTGCCACAAGATGTTGTCGGTGGATTACGCAATGAATAGCTGTAAGTCCTGGTATAATTCTTTTGAGATGACTTATAAACCCACGATATCGCCCGACCATTGCAGGAGCTCCGTCTGTTGCCACTGAAATAATGTTTGTAAATGGGATCGATTTTTCCGTAAAAAAATTACTCAGGACATTAAATATTGATTCGCCTTTAGTGTCAGTCTCCAAAGTTCTGGCAAATAGCAATTCTTCGTGAATTTCTTCCTCAACAATAAATCGGACATATGCCAATAGTAATGCTTCATTACTGGGTAACGTTGACTCGTCCAGTTGTATAGAAAAATGAGTTTTTTGCAGATGATTGCACAAAAAGCTTTCGATATCAGAGCTCATTTCATCAATGCGTCTTTGTACAGTATTGTTACTTAATGGAATTCTTTTTAGTACGTCAAATGGAGATTTGTGCAAAACAGTTTTTAAAACCTCTTCAACAGCGGGTAAAATTAATTGTTCTCCGATAGTGT